CCCCCTGAGATCAAACAACCCTGATGCGACCCTCAATGAAACTGAGTTTGTCACCTCTGGTTTACAGCCTAGATAGAAATTCAATGACTAAAACAAGGAAATACATGTATGCAAACAAACAAAATCAGAATCTGATAGCGCTTTTTCCAAATAACACATTTATTAAAAGACATACGCTTAGCCTTTGAAGAATTGCAGCGTGGTTTGGGGGAATATTGAGTGGCTAGATTGATGTCTACAAATCCTGTACCGAACTAGTTCAGTGTTTCTCAACCTTGGTAATATGAAGATCTGTGAACTTCAATTCCCAGAATTCCCCAACCAGCAAAGTCACCCAGGGTCATTAAGTGTGCGGCTATAGAAACTGAATAACAGAATGAATAAATAAACATGCTGGCTGAGGAATTCTGGGAGTTGCAGTTCACAGGTTTTCAGGTTGCCAAGGTTGAGAAACACTAGTTCAGCCTTAACATAACTGCAGCTCACAAAAACTTTTGCCTTTTAATAACATTTGTTATTTGGAAAAGGTATTACTAGTTTTTTCCTGATTTTTGTTAGCATTTGTTTAGAGACAAAGTTACAAGGGCACTGAAAAAAAAATCACTTATGGCCATTTTTCACACTTATGACTGTTGCAAGCATTACCATGGTTATGTGATCAAAATTCAGACACTTGGCAACTGACTCATGTTTATGATGGTTGCAGTGTCGCAGGGTCATGTGATCACTTTTTGCGGCCTCCTAAGAAGCAAAGTCAATGGGGAAGCCAGATTCACTTAACAATAGTATTAAGAACTGAAGTGATTAACTTAGCAATTCTGGCAAGAAAGATTGTAAAATGAGGCAAAATCATTGAACAACTCTTGCTTAGCAACAGGTTCAATTGCTTAGGTTCAGTTGTGGTCATAAATTGAGGACTACCTGCATGGTTCTCCTAGAACGAGTACAAGCAGGAAGCAGATAGAGCTAGCAATATTGTGTTTGATCACAGAGAACAGCCACCCAAGATCCCCCCACTAAATTTTCTTAACATTTTTTTCAGCTATCATCGTTGATATATTGGGTTATTGAACCTTTGAATGAAGGCAAGTGAGGGGAACTTGCAGGCCTGTCTGAGTCACAAGCCCTCCCCACACAGTGATCTGTAGATAGCTGCCTTCTTCATCCCAACTTTTGGGCAAGTCCCCCTCCCCCCAACTAAACAGGCTGTTTTTCTGGGGAGGAGGCTGCATATTTTTCATCAAAATGTTTGGAACCAAAGCTTGGACCTTCATTATTGGAATACGAGAAGATTTGTCTCCTGTCAGCCAACCCGCAGATGGTGTATTTCACAGGTTGCCTTTGCAATGGTTTCCTTCATCCTGTCAGGCCTGGCCTGTGTCAGCAATCCCTCCCTTCCACCCTCCAGCGGCCCTGTTTATCCTCCAACAGGAAATTCACAGCTGGAATTGACCAGCAAACGGAGGCACCAGAACCCCAGATAAGGCTCCAGAGACACGTTGCAGCTGGAGATGGGGAAGGCAGCCTAATCAGCCAACTTTTTTTCTCTTTCTGATTTGATCCCTGTTGTTGTGGGAATGGGGGTGGAGTGGAAATCCAGTCTTGATTGGTGGCAAATGCTGAATCTCGATTAAAAACCCATCCCCCCACTCACTGTAGCTGTCACCAAGTCTGCTTCTCAAAGTTCTCACACCGGGATGTCTGCCTAGTGTAGTCATCAGAGTCCAAAAAAACGTGTAGGCAAAAATCAAAATAAAAAGATAGCAGCCAGTTGTAGGCGCAATACACAAAAAACAGACCGCTTCAATGAAGCTCCAATTAAATCATTTCTTTTATTAAATTAAACCAATTAAATTAGTTCTTTTATTTGCTTTGTGGTTAATTTTAATGTTTTAATTTGAAAGTTCAATATTTTAATGTTTTTAAAACCACGACTTAGCCATGGTGGCACAGTGGTTAGAATGTAGTATTGCAGGCTAACTCTGCCGGCTGCCAGGAGTTCGATCCTGACTGACTCAAGGTTGACTCAGCCTTCCATCCTTCCGAGGTTGGCAAAATTAAGACCCAAATTGTGTGTGTGGGGGGGGGGGCAATATGCTGACTCTATAAACAGCTTGGAAAGTGCTGCAAAACACTATGAAACAGTATCTAAGTGCTATTGCTATTAATTCTTTAACTGCTTTTTATCGTTGTTTATGACATTGTAAGCTGCTCAGGATTGCTTGATACTGAAATGAGAGGCATATGAATTTAATAAGTAAATAAAATAAACCTTTGTGGCTGCCATTTTGACTTTTAATCACATCCATAAATATTCTCCTATCTCACTTTACTTATTGGGAAGAGAAACTTTGCTAGGGAATTAAGCTGGTTCAGCAATTGGTTCCTACAGCGGCTGACAAAAAGAAGCTGGGATATGAATGTAATTGTTACTTCCTGTTTGTGATCCCTGAAAACTAATGTTTGATCATGGTACAGTAATCTACAACCGTTGTGGCTAATAGTTATGGCCTGATTCAGCCAATACAAGCTCAGTAAAAGTGTCCTGATATCCTGATATTAATAACCCTCCCCGCCGAGCTATGAGGCCTCCTTTTCAACCAGGCTGTCCCCATATTCATCCTAGTACAGATAGAGACAAAGAAATTCACAATTTACTGTTCATTGTGTGTATTATCAATCTTCTAGCCATTTTCTCCTATTTTCCTCTCTTCTATCTTCTTCCATTGTCCCCTCACCCCCAATATTCAGCTGGACCCAAAGAATACTGTTCATCTTCCCCTGCCCCTCAATATGTCTGCTTTGCAGCCCCTTGCATTCCTCCTGATTTCGTGCTTACCACTCACATGTTGGCATTTCACCAGACCATCGGAAACAAAGGAAATGCTTTGCAAATGATAAGTAGCTGCGGGGAGGGTTGGGCCCAGCCACAGGAAGCATGAGGCCTCAAGATTGGGTGCCTGACATCAGCCTGTCCCTTAGTCCAGGCACGGCTAGAAAATCCGCAGTGCAGAGCCAATCGGGTGAGGCAGAAACCTCTCATCTGTTGCAAAGCCCTTTCAAGGGTCATCAGTGCATTCTGTGCCCAGTTAAATACAAAACCATACTGAAGAGAAGGTACACGGCATTACAGTATGGCTGGAGGTCTGATTCCTGGTATCCCCAGCTGGCATTTTGATAGGATTAGACAGCAGGCAATGAAAGGAGCATGGCTAATACCCAGAATAACTACCAGCTATCAGGGCAAACAATAGTGACCTGGTTGATTCAACTTTAGCCAAAATTAGCCTACTCCGCAGAATCTCATCTGCCATCATCAGGCTTCTGTATTCTGTATTACAGAAGCCTGATGCTGGCAGATGAGATTCTGCTGAAACTTTGTTACAACTTTAAAAGCACAACTATAATGACGTGGGAAAATACCCGAACAAAGCTGAATACCATACATGTAAGTACCCACGAAAACTTAAGAAAACACACACACACACACACACACACACACACATATAACATATATGTGTGTGTGTGTGTGTGTTTTCTTAAGCTGAATACCAATGGCTATTGCTATTACATACATACATACATACATACATACATACATACATCTCCTTCCTCTTGCTATTTTCCCCACAACAACAATAACCCTGTGAGGTGGATTGGGCTGAAAGACAAGGACTGGGCCAAAGTCACTCAGCCAGCTTTCATACCTAAGACAGAACTAGAATTCACATTGTCCTGTTGATTGACCCAGCCATCCAGCTGGCTTTAATGGCTAATGCAAGACTAGAACTGGTTTTACAGCCAACGTTGGGCCATGTTTCTGGAAAATATCATAGTACTAGGAATGACAGTGAATCAGTGACAGAAGCTCTGAAGATGCTTTGATCACATTCCTTATCAAAAAGTCACCCATCTATCCAGTGACTTGCAGAGCCAATAGGGGAAGCGGTAGAGCACTGGACATTAGATTATGTTCAGCAGGTGAAAAGGAGCAGAGGGTTTTTTAGTTAACAAAAGCTACCATATTTAGGTGTTTTTTTTTTAATGGCAGCTCCCATTGGTAAGAGAACGTACAGAGAAACCCCAGTTTTCCTCTTTTGATCAGCTAAAATAGAAACAGGAGATTACAAGATCTACCATTGTGAGATGTCCATAGGGAGGAATCACATTAGTTGATCAAGATCACAGTGGCTGAGGAGCAATTGATGCAATTTCCATAAAGACAGCCGGTTCCAAAAAAGTTCATTCAGTACCTCCAAGAGCTAGTATGGGTAACATGGAAGGGTAGCAGAATGATTACTGTATGCATATAAGAGAAAGAAGAAGAGGAAACCAAAGTCAGCAAGATCTGTAAAATGCTGAGCAAGATTCCAAAATATCCTAGCCTGATATACCTTGACTCAGAAAACCGTTATACAGATAGTCCTCAACTTTCAACAATTTGGTGTGTTTAGTGAGAGTTTGAAGTTACGATGGCACTGGGGGAAAAATGTGATTTGTGACACATATGACCATTGTAGAACTCCCATGGTCATGTGACCAAAATTCAGCCACTTGGCAACTGACTCATATTTATGACGGTTGCAGTGTCCCAGGGTCATGTGATCATCTTTTGCAACCTTCAGACAAACACAGTCAATGGGGAAGCCAGAATCACTTAATAACTGTGTGACTAATTTAACAGTTGTGGTTAATTCACTTAATGACTGTGGCAAAAAGGTAATAAAATGGGGCAAAACTATCTTGCTTAGCATTTGGGGTTCAATTATGTTTGTGGGGATGCAGAGGTTAAAATGGAGTACTGTAGGCTAACTTTGCCAACTGCCAGCTGTTTGATCCTAGAGCAGTATATACATCTAATGGCTATTGCTATGGTCATAAACTGAGGCCTAGCTGTAGTTTTTTTTCAGTGCCAGAAACCCCACCCTTGAGCAGAAATTCCTACCCTGAACCAGCCAGTGATAGCAAAGAATCTGATGGGAATACAAAAGACAAACATCCGAAACTAATTTGCTTTTAATTACAAGAAATATCAAACAATTTTTGGTCACTGTACAAATAGTCTGATAGTAGGTTGATAGTTTAAACACATCAAGAGAGGGAGCTGTATAGACATTCTCTTACATAGCAATCCCATAACATGAGCTATTACAAAATAATAAATGTAATGTACACAGAGCCATTCTTGCTACATCAATTGCAAGGATTATTTTAAAAAATAATAATAATAATAAAAAAAGATCTAAGAATCCGTGGGGATCTAAGAAATAGGTTTCAGGATTAAATCTCGGACGGGAGGGGGAGAGGTTTGGAAATGCATACAAATAGCAGAGAATAGCAAACGGGTGGTTTTATTTTCCCAAAGGAAATTGGAGACCAAAGACCAGACCCCAATCTTATTTGCAGTCAGTAACCAAACCTCGTTAATGGAACAGCTTTAAAATCAAACCACAGAGATAAAACACGCTCACCACCACATTTTAACATGGGGATAAGTAGGGGGGCAAATTTGGGATTACGATATACATTGGGGCAGAGCCCTGCAGATAGCATGGATTACAACATCTGTCATGCTCGCGGGTCCAAGTTTTGAATGCTGTAATCTTCACCACCCGAGCACCCCCTTTTAACCCCAACCTGCCTGATACATGAGACACATTTTTATTTCTTTTTATGTAAATTAGAAACCTCCTCCTCTTTTGGAGTATATTCACAATGCAGACATACTGCTTTAGGAACTGTATAGCTTATATTAGGTGGGTAAAGTCACCACCCACTAAAGAAGAATAAAACAGTGGAATTGCAACTTTGCAACAGACACGCCCATATCTTTACTTCCCGCCCCCTGCCCCCCTCCCCTCACCTCTTTGTCATCCCAATATTTTTATTTATTATTCTTCATAAACAGCATCACACTTCTATCGTCTTGTTACTTTCAGGGAGTCCATTGTTGAAAAGAGAATTCCAGAGCAGTCTCCTGCCCTAAATTAGAGTAGATGCACTAACTATTTGGAGTAATAACTGATAGTATTTTGTGATTATCTGATGAAACATTCTTCAGCTAAGCTCCTGTTTGTAGTTGGCTGCAGCTGGAAGGTATCTCCACCCATAATAAATCTGAGTATTGACCAACATTAATTTATGGGACTCTAGCTTCTGTTGAAACTGTCTGTACATTACTTCCTGGAAAACCCAACTAATCTGTCCTCATACATTAAAACTCTTCTTACACTTCACATGGAGAATCTCAAATGATAGAGGAACCCCATTTCCTTAAGCTTCTCTGATACCCCCTACCCAAACCTACATTCTTCAGCTAATAAACACAGATATAGTGGCACTAAATTCACTTCTAGTCTTGAAATTGCTTGCTGGGACATGGGATCCAGCAAAACAAAACTAGGAATCATGTTTCCCACTACAAAGCCAAGACAGTTTTCTAAGAAAGGATACGTGATGCAAAAACATGGTCACAACTTAAAACAGTCTTTCCCACTCCCCATCCCCACTCACCTGTCTCGTTTGCAAAACAAAAGACAAAAACAGAGATGTCTGGTGCTATACTAGAGGTTTTTTTTCAAACCAAAGGTGCTTTTTCAAGAAGCAGCTGGACTTTGCTTTTCCTTGAAGACATCCAAGATGAGAAGAAAATGTCTTCAACCCCTCCCCCACCACAAACACAAGTTTCCTCTTGAAAAAGCACCTTTGGGACAACCATGACCTGGATGACTGAGAATCTCCATAGACTAGTAAAGGATAAGTAACAGATCTACTGCAAAGGTATTTAGATATTTATGTATCTGGCTGTTTAATTGGCATGTGCTCTCAAAGCCAGACAAAGACATTGAATTTTAAACAAAACAGAGTCTGCTCTCCATGAAATTAATTATTTCTTCCTCCTTCCTTATATTAAAAACTACAACTCAGTAGCCGCTTCTGGGAAAGTTCATTGGCTACATTCAGAGCTTCTGGGAGCCACAGGATATACATACCTTATCTCAAGGGTTTCTCAACCCTGGCAGCCTAGAAAAAGGTGGAAATCAACTCCCAGAAGTGGGTTTCAATTCTCATGTCAGCTGGGGAATTCTGGGAGCTGAAGTCCACTCATTTTAAAGATGCTAAGGTTGAGATCACTACCTTATCTTGTAGCAATGTCAGTTTTAGTAATGTGCATTTAGTAATGCAACCTTATCTATTTTAATTCTGTCATATTTAAAACTTATCCCATTCAGGAGAGAGGAAGGAGGTGGTAACACTCACTCTGGCAGTAAAAACAATTTTTCTTTTTTGTAGCAAATAAATACTTCAGATAAGGCCATATACATTACAGTTCTATGTGCCTTTTCCATTACAATAAATGAATCAGGAGTAAGAACACAAAAGCAGAAATACGATGGAATCAAGGAACATATAGACTAGGTCCGTCTGTAAGCAATCCCTAAGACATTATTTCCTAATCTTGGCTATTTAAAATGTTGGCCTGGGGAATTCTGGAGGTTGAAGTCCATTCCTCTTAAAGATTGAGAAACACTGCCCTAAGGAGCCGATAGATCTAAACTAGGAACAGGAGGGTAGATAAAATTTATGGGGCAGAACTAAGGTGTATAGTAAGGGGAGGGCATTATTTCTACATAAGTATTCTTACATTTAGCACAAACAAATCTACAGCTGTACCACCAATTCTGCATATGTACACAGAACAGGCAGATTTGTTTCCCAACTGTTTACCATTAACTTCCAAAAATGAGTTGACAACGTTCCCGCAGGCCAGTTTAGGGAAGCCAAGATAGCTGTAACAGAATATCACTTTCAAAAGAATGTAAAAGAAATATCTGATAGGCAAAAAGACAGGCTATTAATTTGATGGATCTGGGATTATAAAAGTGTTGTTCAAAAATACATTGGCCAGTGTAAATCCCTCTCCAGTTATTTCTGCTTCCAGCCCACTGAATTGTATTAATTTAAAAGCACCTGATTTAAAAGGTTATCCAGTTCAAATTGGATAGAGATGCTATCTATGGATGCAACCCTGTCTTACCACCCAACCCCATCACAGCTTTAATGAAGAAGAAAAAACTGATGCATATTTTTTTCCACACAACCACTCCAAATTTTGTCCTTCATAAATAAATCTGTTTTTAAAAGTGACTAGCCAAAAGAGAGCGAAAAATAGCACAGAATTGTTCCAGCTACCTTATCCGTTGAAAATGTTGTCCTTTTTTGTACATGACTGGACTGACAAAAACAGATGCTTATTTTATACAAGATGCAAAAACCATTGAGGTGGGCCACTGGCAGAAAATTCTGTCCCTTGTCAGAGGCAGCTAGGTGTGTGGCTAATTGCGGTCCTCTCATTGGTCTCTTCTAGTTATGAACCAGACATCTTTTCTTCCTTCTTCATGCCATGAAAGGATCTTGATTATTTTCATTGACTTCAAGAAAACATGACAAAGTTCTTTTGACTTCCCTCTAATCATGTTCTTTTCTCAACACAAGATCATCACTTAAAAAGACATCTCACAGTTGCTTGGGTATACAATACTGCTTGGATATACAGAGCCACAGGTTTAAGAGAAAAAAACTGAATGAATTCTGAAATGGAAGCTATTGAGCTAGGTTGTTTTCATCCATTGAAAAGAGACTGATAAACAGAAGAAGGCTTCATACCTTTGAATGTCCCAATAGCATACATGTTGATAGAAGAGCCTGGCTACATATTGGAGATCATTAGACAGAGTTTCCCAAAATGGTATCATTCTCTCTTAGTCTGTATTTTCAACCATGTGCCTCTTGGTTAAGACTGTGTCCTCACATTCTCTCAGTCTCTTAGGTGACCTTTTCTCAAAAACATATTCCAAGTTCATAGAGAGAAAACGGTGGGTTAGAGAACAGAAATTCAAGACAGTTTAGTAAAAAATGATAAACAAAAGAGCAGATGATAGACAGAGGGTTTCGTAACAGGCTCAGTGGTATGTCACTTTGATTCCAGATTGAGAGATGGGCTGAAGCCAAGACGTATTTTTCCAGTACAAAGAAGCTGCACTGTCCCAGGCCTTGGAAGGAATACAAGAAGTGGGGAAAGAACAAGGATTATTAAGCATCTCCTGGAACTTATTTTTCAGAAGTAGCATCATGGAATGCCATAGGATCCTGATTGGTGTTTTCCTGTTTGGACACCACAATAAAGAAATCAGAAGATAAAAAATACTTCTCTATGGGAAGAAGCAGGGATAAGTTGGTGGATTAGCTAACAGTCATTTGCTGGCCACATTTGGCCAAAGGGCTGCCAACTGCTGACTACTGCAGTAGCAGCTGAAAAACTCTGCAAGAGCGGACTGGCAGAAATTTTAGGATGGGGAAAAGAAACAGCAGAGCTAAGATGATCCTCCTCCTATAACCCAATCTCTTCGTCTTGTTCATCTTCAAAACTGTAGCCCTGTCCCTCCTCTTCCTCCTCCTCCTCCTCCTCCTCCTCTTCCTCTTCTTCTTTTTCATCTTCTTGCTGGGAGCATCCCAATGGGCTTGGGCTCTCATCCCTCAATACCTCCTGATCCTGCCCTTTAATATTGTCCCAGTCTTTATCCATCACTCCCAGCACATCGTCCAAGATGGAAGGGCCCAAGTCCAGCTGGAAAGAGAGAAGGGATTCAGCATGGTCCAGAGTGGGACTCTCCAGGGAGAACTTCTGTTGCAGGTCCCAATCTTCTCCATTAGGGGGCTTCCAGTCAGCCTTCTCTGGGCTCTGCAGTACCACAAAGCTGCCATCAGGGGTAGATGTTGCTGGACTCTGGACTACTCCATTCCCGCTCCCAGGAGGAGAAAGCAGTTCAAAGCAACCAGAAACATCTCCAGGAGAACCAAGAGACCCAGGAGACACTGCTACATCGTGAGGCAACCCATTGGTCTTGGCGCCCCCATGGTTGCTGAGGAATGACGTGTCTCCAAAAGCATCGCCTCCACGGCCAATGTGCATTGTATGTCGAAAATCCCCCAAAGGGGCGCTAATCATGGCTCGATCCAGACGGGGCCTCTTCTTGGAATGAGAAACTGGAGACTGCTTGAGGATAGGCATCTGAAAAGAGAGACATAAGATTAGGGTCCAAAGCATTCCCACTGGAACCAGAATGAGTTCATTACTTTCCTAAAGACTCAGATCTGAATCTCATCAATAAGTCTGCCACAAAATCCCCCACTGACACCCACTACAGCCTAGGTCTCACCTTTTGTGAGGCCCACAGGAACAAAGTGTCCTTCTGAGGATAAATAAAATATTGCACATCCCATTGCAAGTCAGGAGCCTGAAGCACGAAACCAAAGCATCAGCTGTTTATTTGTTTAAAACATTTATATAGCCGAAGCATGAAACCAAAGCATGAGTTATTTACTTGTTTGTTTATTTGTTTAAAACATTTATATACTGTAGCTGCCTACCGTAAAGCTAATTCTGGGTGGCTCCCAATCAACTCCCATTGAATTAAGCCTATCATTTTTGCCCTAAATGGACATAATCCATTTTTAATCACACCATGAGTTAATTACTTTACCCATGGCAGGATGTTTGCTTTAGTGCTAATGCCAGTTTGCGTTAGCCCTCCACGTAGCAGTCCTTGTCTTTCGCATTTTCCCTGATCTCACCACTGTCCCTCCTTTCTAGCCAGCTCTGAGTTTATCTGCAACTCAGCTAACACATTGGGCACATGACTCACCATGAAATCTTCTGCCGTAATAAATTTGCTCAACTTGAAGGCAGCCAGGAGACTGTGGTGGTTTTCTTCGAAAACAGATAGCCCAGGAACCAATGATATGAAAAAAATAATAAGCTCAGAAGACAAGTTTTCAAAAACAGTTACCCTGTCTGGATTTATTTTCTATCAAGGTGTTGATTACGGTGACCACGAAACTATCATATTTTGGCTCCTCTGAGATAGAATAGAGAATATATGACAAAAGAGAGAATCCCTTATGCCAAGGTTCTCTCTTGGTTTTGCTCAATCTACCAAATTCACATAAAATGTGAATCACAAGGTTTGATGCAAGAGTTTCACAGGAGTCGATCTGACCTTACTTTCCTTTCAATCTGAGAGGGCAAAGATCAGAGCTTGGGATAAATGAAAGAGGTGCAGGAATTCTGCTCCCTTCTGACCCAGCTTAGGATATTTTTCACCTACTGGCCACCCACATATAACTTGTCCAACCAGTTCTTTGACTGAGGAAGGCTGCTCTGGAAGATTCAAGTTCCTGAAAAAGAGGAGCAAGAACTGGAGAATAGAAGATTTTAAGGATGCCTAAGAGGAAAAGACTTGAACTAGGTATTATTTCTTCGACAGAAGCAGAATTTAGCTGTATTCATAGCGGAATACAGTATATTCAAGATGTTACCGATCTTGCTTGAATTTACACAAGGTATTATTTACTTATTTGTGATTTACTAACCCACAATTGCCCAGTTTTAACACATCAATTCATAGTTTAGGAAACCCAAATAACTGTGCTTGCTCAGTACACTAACCTGCAGTGGGATACCTTGTTGTATTAAACCAAACTAGGTCTATCCATGGGTAACTGGAATGGATTCATTATCTAAGAAACAGGGAGTTTCTTTCTGTACAATGCTGTGAAGATTCACGGTAATTACATCAGAAACATTGGATACTTTGGCATGGAATTTGAGGTGTGGAAGGGAATGGCTGTTAAAACAGGAGAGCATTTTCCTTCCCTTGACTCAGATACAGAAAACCAGACTGTAAGGAAGATCCTTCAGTGTTTTGGATGCTTGCCCCCAATAATGTCCTAATGGTACCGTTGGCCCTCCCCTACATCCAAGGTGGACTAGGCCTACAGATACTACAGACGTTGGAGTTTCCTGTCTCTCCTCATACCTGCCCAACATTGTAATGTTCTTATCGGAGGTGTGATGATCTAATAGAGATGATTCATGTTGAATGGGAATATGGAGCTGCACTGGGGGTGGAAGGGAGACATTGTCTGGGCAAGTGTAGAGGAGGGAGGCAGAGGAGGGGAGAGGAAAGTCAAGCAAGGCTTCTCCTTCCCTCCCAGGATCAGAAAGTGCTGACAGAAGTGGAAAACGGCCTAAGAGTTGACTCAGCTGTGGGTGGTAAATAAACCCAGCGTAGGTATCAGGAGTCAGGGGAAAAAACCCTTGGGAGTCCTGGATTCTTCATCTTATCTCCTGAGCTCCATTATTCCCTTTCTTTGGAGTCCAGGAAGATTTTCCACTTGTTTATTGATACCAATGCCAGTTTCAGGAATGGGGGAGGATTGGTGGGGACCTTTCCCTTTGTGGTTGAGAAGGGGTGAGGAATAAAGGACGTTTCAAGTAGCCCTCAACTTACAAATAGTTCGTTTGAAGTTACAACGGCACTAAAAAAAAGTGACTCAGGACCATTTTTCACACTTACAATCTTTGCCTTCATCTCGGTGGTCACGTGATCGAAACTGGCAATTGGTTCCTAATTATGTCGGTTGCACCGTCATGGGATCATGTGATCCCTTTTGCGACCTTCCACAAGCAAAGTCGAAGGGGAAGCCAGACTCACTTAACAACCATATTACTAACTTAACCACTGCAATGATTTACTTAACAACAGTAGCAAGATAGGTCGTCAAATGGGTCAAAACTCACGTAGCAAATGTCTCACTTAGCAACAGAAATTTTGGGCTCAATTGTGGCCGTAATTCCTTTTTACTCCATTTCTTTTTATTGGAAAGTATTACAAGCACACAAGAAAAAAGCCAATAAGTCCAACAGTGTGCAGATGTCGTTTCCTCCTAGGGAATCTCCTTAGGAGGGTCCTCTTGGTATCCATGAGATCCAAAATGACCAAAGCAAGACTCAGTATTACATCACAAGCTCCTTCCCTTTCACACTCATGAGCAACTCCATGACACACATATAAGGGGGGGGGGGTAGTTTGCATTGCATCAGCCCAACGCTACTTCTGGCTCTTCTACAGTGGGTGCTACTAACCATTTGGCAGAAATAAAGCCAATTCTCTGGATTCAGTTCCATAAAGTTATTTCAGAATATGCAGGGACCCAAACATCTTACCTACCCAAAGCACTAACCTTTCTGCTCAAGATTGCAAGGCAGCCAGGGAGGGAAGTTACACAAAACATGCAGCAGCCTTTAAAAACTTTTTGGAACTAAACCCGAAAGGTGCACAGGGTGAAGGCCCGCGACACAACCTGCAGTGATCTGAAAACATCTCAAATCAATGTTTCTCAGTCTTGTGGACTTCAGTTCTCCGAATTCCCCAGCCAGCATTTCATGGCCTAAATCAGCGGTCTCCAACCTTTCCAGCTTGGTGGCCTGATCCAGCACAGTGTGTGTTTGTGTGTGTGTATGTGTGTGTGTGTGTGTGGCAGGTGCATGCGCTCACATATGAACTTCCGCTCAGGTGACTGGAGGGCGCTTGTGCTCATACGTGAAGCTCCACTTGCACAAGCACCCTCCGCTCGCATGAGTGGAACTTCACACACCAGTGCAAGTGCCCTCCACTTGCGCGAATGGAGTTTCTCTCTCTCGTGCTTGCCCACTCCTTGTGCAAATGGAGCTTTATTTCAAAGGCTGCGGCCAGTAGTGGCCCATCTAAATGAAAAGACCTCATCAAGTAGGAGGATTGGTGAGGATAGGAGTCTCCTCACCCCATCTTCCTTGTTTCATGGCATTCTACTCTTACTCTCTGCCACTCATCATCTCTCATTGTAAAATCCTTGAAACAAGACCCTGGTTTTGTGGACAGTATTCATCTCCCCAGTCCCCTGGGGTCCCCAGGGCAGATGCCACGGCCAGGTTTTGTTGGCTTCTAGAAAGACAAAAGGAATGAGGCCGGCCTCACTTTTTGGATATTTCATAAAGAGAGGGCACCTCCATAGAAAATGCTTGCTGCCTGTGACATATCAAATGTAGTTCCCTAGCCGATGGGAATCCATTCCTTCTCTGCTGGATCTGGTGGGGCAGGTGGATGTACTTGGGCAGAAGTGGCCCTCAGACAATCTGGTCCAGTGGTGGGATTCAAAAGTTCCCACCACTGGTTCTGTGGGTGTGGCTTGGTGGGTGTGGCTGCGGGGGGTGGTGGTCATGCGATACGCACGCACGCCAAATGCGTGCTTTGCGCACGCATTAAAACAGTAAAAACTAAGCTGCTGCGCCTCTCAGCTGTTTAGCATAGCAATCCGCTCTACTGTGCCAAACAGCTGAGAGGTTAAAAAGGACCTAGGAGCAGGGGCAGGCGGGTGGGCCCAGCTGCAGAGCCTCAGAGCGAACCTGTCCTCTGGCCGCTGATCTTTGGCGCTACCGGTACACCAGAACCGGGCCAAATCGGTAGAATACCACCACTGATCTGGTTTCATACCATGTACGGCTTCAAAGGTTAAAACTATCACCTTGAACTGGATCCAGAAACAAACTGGAAACCAGCACAGCTCACATCAGAGAGGTGCAACATGTGTTCCAGAAAAACAAGAACAGGTAAAGTCCTTGGCTTATGACCACAAATGAATCCAACATTTCTGTCGCTAAGTGGGACGGTTGTGAGTTTTGCCCCATTTTACAACCTTTCTTGCCACAGTTGTTAAATGAATCATTGCACTTTTTAAATTACTGATAGTTATTAAGCGAATCCGGCTTCCCTGTTGACTTTTTCTGAAGGTCTCAAAAGGTTGATTACATGATCCTGAGACACTGCAACCATCATAAATATGAAGCAGTTTATCAAGGGTCTGAATGCTGATCATGTGACCATGGATGGAAGCGCTGCAATGAGCATAAGTGTGAAAAATAGTCATGTCACTTTTTCGGTGCTGTTGTAACCTTGAACGGTCACTAAACAAACTGTTGTAAGTCAAGGACTACCTGTAACACCTTGAGCCAGCTAAAACATTTTGCAGCAGCTGAAGCTTCCAGGTACATTTCAAGGGCAGCTCCCTATAGAGCACATTACAGTAGTCCAGCCGGGAGAACTTTAATTAGAATTCTTGCACAATGGGATAATCCAGCATTATAGGTAGTCCTCAACTTACAGTGATGTGTTTAGCAACTGTCTGAAATTTCAATGGCACTGGAAAAAGTGACAGAGGATCAGTCCTCGTACTTATGACCGTTGCAGCATCCCCACAGTCATGTGATCAAAATCTTGGTGCTTGGCAACCAGCAGATATCTACGATGGTTGTGGAATCCTGGGCTCATGTGATTGTCATTTGTTAACCTTCCCAGCTGGCTTCCCATGAGCAAAATCAAAGGGGAGGAAGCTGGATTCGCTTAATAGCATGATTCACTTAACAAGCACAATACTTCATTTTAATAACCACAGCAAAAAAGCTCATAAATCAGGTATGCCTCATTTGACAACCAGCAGTTGGAGAAGGTGATTTTTTTGCAGGGTGCTTGCCATGTGCTTCCATTGGCTGTCCTGCATGACAAGTATAAAAAGATACCATTGACTGAAAGACCCTGTTCCTATGGCTCAGGAGAGGTGGAGACCATTGAACACATTATCCTCCAATGATCTTTTTATAGAGATATTCGGATATCTCTTTTTAAAGAGATATTCCCAATCATCGCTAGGTATCATGGCTGTTCCAATACTACTTATCTCCAGTGGATGCTTAAGGATGAACAAACTGTGATTACAGCACAGGGAGTTAGATTCTGCACAGCAGCACTGGGAATTCATCAGAAACCCATGGTTAATCCATCATAGAGTAGAGTAGAGTAGGGTAGAGTAGAGTAGAGTAGAGTAGGGTAGAGTAGAGTAGAATAGAATAGAAAATAGAATAGAAAATGGAATAGAGAATAGAATAGAATAGAGAATAGAATAGAATAGAATAGAATAGAATAGAATAGAATAGAATAGAATAGAATAGAATAGAATAGAATAGAATAGAATAGAATTCTTTATTGGCCAAATGTGATTGGAGACACAAGGAATTTGTCTTGGTGCATATGCTCTCAGTGTACAGAAAAGAAAAGCTATTTCACACAGTTAACGCAGCAAACTCTTTTGCGTTACTACTTTTTTGCATTTTAGTTTTAATGATTATGGGCCTCACAGTTTTAAGGTCTAATATAATAGTATAATCAGGCCATCCTTTGTTTTGCTGTGATTGGATGCCAAATTGTGATTATAATATAGATTTTATGTATTATTTATTATTTTATTCTAGAATTTTTAACTGGATATTCCTGGAGTGTTCTTAACTTGTTCTGGTTGCTGGTCTTTGACTGTAATAAACTAACTTGACTTGACACCTTGCTTAATCATGGAAATTCTGGTCCCAAATCTGGTCATAAGCAGAGGACTGTCAAATAGTTTCCCATGCAAGCTAAGGAAGAGATCAGAGTTTTGCTTGATTTCTGCTGAAACGTGTGGTACAGGGACAACTTATTCCATGATGATTCCAATTTGGAAGTAGGCTCTTAAATGCAACCCTTTTAATCCCAGAGTTCTTGATTATTATTTTAAGAGATAATTGGCCACAAAACGGCATAACTTGTGATGAGCTTAAATCTGCTGCAGTTTATGAGCGGAAGGAGCAAAGAGGGGAAATGAGGCAGAGCCCAGAATGTGTTTCTCTTCTCAGATAAAGTTTAAACCAAAATATCCTAAGGAGTAGGGAAGGCTTCTTACTTTTTTAAAATGAAAATGAATTAACTGATTTTTATGGGAAATGTTCTAGCATTGAGACAAAGCAGTAGGGATAGGGTGAAGGAACTATTTTGAGAAAGCCATATGCATGTATTTATGAAAAGTATGACATTCACATGTCGCAAGATAGACAAATTACCTTTGAGAATGAACTGCCCTTATACCAGTGTTTCTGATTTAGGGCAATCTAGTTGGGGAATGAAGGTAGCTAGCTGGCTGGAGAATTTTGGGAATTGAAAGTCCACAGTTTCAAGCTGTCAGGGTTGAGAAACCCTGGCCTAAGTTATTCGTCGGATCAAACAAGCTTTTATCAAACAAGTCTATTTTTCCTTCAAGCCTTTTTGCTTGGAGCTCCCAGTGACCACTTAAGAGCTGCCTGCAGAGAGGGTTTGTGCAGTTTGTGGATGATACACTTTCATTTGGTGTGGGTTTTTTTTTAAAATGCTTTTCAGCAGAATTCCAGCCTTTAGGGATGGCCTGTTGGGTGTCTACCACAAAAACACATTCAAGAGGGCATGCAAAAAATGTGAGGCGGGGAACAGCTGAGAATCAGAACTACTGGATCTGACATGATCTTGGCACGATCCCAGGCGGGCTCATTCTAAAAAGTCTCTTGGGAAAATATATCTATTCCTTTTCCTTCCATCCTTCCCCTCTCTGCCTGCGGATGACAGATATGGTTACTAGGCCCAGAGGAGAATGACGGAATTTCCTTCAAAAAATTAACATAAAGTCTTTAGAAGTGCTTTTGCACAGCTGGGATTAAGGAAACCATTGGGAACTGGGCAGGGATGGGATCTGGTGGGATTGTGGAGCTCTGATGTAGCAGAGAAACTACATCTATGTGGAGAAGGGGCCCATATTCTGGATTTATCTAGAAAAAGGAGCTAAAGCTAACAAGCAAGAGGCGGAGAATGAGTTAGAAGAATGCATTCTGGGGTCCTACAAAAAGGAGGAGATTTAATGGGATATTGGCCCCAGAAAACCCAGATTGGGATTTCAAAGGGAAGGTTGGTGGACCAGCTAGAAAGGATCTGGAAGGAACAAGAGGACATTTTATAGCAAGGCTCTTCCAAGTACTAGGTTCTGCAAGAAGAGAACCTCAAAACAATGAGGGTGGGGTGTGTGTGTGTGTGTGTGTGTGTGTGTGTGTGTGTGTGTGTGAAGAGCTGGGAGGTGGTTGTGTTGAAAGTTTTGAGATGCCAGGAGAAATATCCCAAGATATCCCAGCAGAGATCTGTGGCTGGAGGTGGGGGGGGGGTTATCAATTTGGCTTAGCCGCAGCCCTCCCTCCACCCCCCCCGAGTCTTGCTTTCAACCCGGCAGCGGTTTGATTTATGACCACTCACTTATTCCTTCCCCTCCAGGCGCGCGCGCGCGCACACACACACACACACACACACACACACACACACACAAGTTTGTGCCACCATACCCCCAAGTTCCCTTTTAATCCTTGTGCAAAATTAAAGGTCAATTCGCACCCTGCTCTCCCTTCCATTAGAGAAGGGGACTCTCCAAAGAGATCGTCCCTTCCCAACGCTTCCGTTGGCCACGTGGTTAGATTAGCTGTTCTCCAGGTGAAATGAGAAGCATAATTGCTTTCTTTTTCAGCTGTCCGGACTCCCAGGTCTCATTTTGAAACTACAGTCCTCTGCCACAGAAATAGCACCTTCGTTTCCAGCCCATCAGCCAGTCATATTAAATCACCCTGTGTAGTAGGGGACTAATGAGTCTGGCTTATTTTACTACAGCCCAAGCTATAGTCACAATCCCCGGCCCCACCGCAACCCTAATTCCCTTTAGCAGAAGAGATGTCAGATGGTTCAACACATGTCTTTCCCCATCTGGCCAGCCAGAGCTCCCCAGGCGCTGAAAGATAAGGGGGGGGAAAGCTTCTTTAAGTTAACAAACTCACCTTTGCTAAAAAGGAACACGGCAACTGCGGCAACTTTTTCCCACACCTCAAGTGATTCACAGGAACGTCCCGATTCTCTTCCTGCTTTTGTAGTCACCCCAGTCCGCTGCCTCCGCCAAGGGGCAGTGCCAAAGCAACACACACACACAAAACCACTCAATGTCCTCCCAGTGTTCAGAGTTGGATCCTGTTCCACTTTTGTCCAGCAACGTCCGGGAAGTTTGCTTCAAGTTCTCAGAAATCCTTGGGAAATTTCTTTTTTTCCCCCTTTCATTTGTCCTGTTCTCTTTTTTTTCTTTTTTCTTCTTCTTCACCAGCTTTCACTCCACCCCTTCTTGGGTGGGTAGCCTGGAAGGTTTATTTATTTATACCTGAACAAGAAAGAAAATATCGTGAATGTCAGGAACGCCAATAAAATCCAAACTGCGCCACAGAGGATATTGTAAGAGAGAAACTGGGAACCAAAAGCCAAAACAAATATTATCCCCTGGGCAGGAAATTTAAACACATACCCACACATTAGGGGGAAAATAAACAACTCTAAATTTGTATAAAGTTCAGCACATTCCTGAATTCCGGAGTTTGGTTGGCATATTTGAAAACCTGGCTAAGAACCGAGTGGCAGATAACGCAGGGATCTCAAAGGAGCGTCTGTAAATGTTAGGCTTTGAAAAGTGAAGTGACACCCGCTGGTGTGTGTGACACAGAGAGAGGAGCTGAGGGAGGGAGGGAGGGAGAGACTAGTTAGACAAGGATGGCTGAGTTAGCCTCACCTTCACCTTCACTTTTGCCAAGGAAACCTGGCAGTTGTATGGCAAGCAGAAAAGGATCAGCCACATGGAAACTGTTAAAACTGCCTTACTTCGAAGTATGGGCAGTCCTCGACTTACGACCACAATTGAGAGCAGCATTTCTGCTCTCAATAAAGCAGTTGTTAAGTGAATCACACCCAATTTAACAATTTTTTTGCCACAGTCGTTAAGCGAATCATTGCAGTTGTTAAGGGAACCATGTGGTCGTTAAGCAAATCTGGCTTCCTTCACTGACTTTACTTGTTGGAAGCCAACTGGGAGAGTGGCAAATGGCGGATCATGTGACACCGGGATGCTGCAACTATCGTAAATACATGCCTGATTGTCAAAACACCCAAATTTTGCTCATGTGACCCTAGAGATCATGTGGTGTTTTTTTGAGCAGAAGGACCAGTGCTAAGTCATTTTTTAAAATGATGTTATAACTTTGAATGGTTGCTAAATAAATGGCTGCCTGTCAAGGACTACCTTGAAGGAGATCAACAGTGTAGAACCACTAACACAGATAGTCAGGAATTTAAGAAGAGGCTGGCTATAGGGACATATCCTCACAGATAAAGCCAAGTTCTCTAGTCTTCTACAACTGAAACATACAAACATACAACACACCTCCACTTTGTGTCCCACTCCTTAACATTGGTGCTGGATATGACTGCACAAAAATTGGCATTGCTCTACATCTGCATCCTTCCCAGATTATTTCAGTTCTTTGGTATGGGGGCAGTAGCAGAAAATTTGACAACCCCTCCTCCCCTTTCTATAGATACTTTATATTTCAAATATTTCTTAATTTAAGAATATCCTCTGAAGTGTTTTAAATACTTAAAGTAACAGAAGCTTCAATCGGGTTTTTTTTAAAAAAAATAAAATAAAAATAAAAATGCCTGTATGAATGTACAAGCGTGTACATATTTGTACATAAATCACAAGACAAAAAGCAACGTTTAAATAAATCACTATTCTCATACAATGCAATAAACACAACAACAATACACGACAAGTTGTATAGATCAGCAATTAAAACATATCCTGGTTTAAATCCTGTTTTGCCGAGCAGGGACACATTCTGTTGATCAGCATGAAACGTAGTTCATGCATTTTTAGCATCTCATATGCATTTTAAGGAACCCAATAAAGGTGAGCAATCAGAGAAGGGAAAAAGAGAGAAATAGTCATCAGTCATTAACTTTCAATGTAAAAATCTTCGCAAATAAAACTCTACACCAGCAAGAAAACCAGAGCATTTCTTTCTAATATGCCAGCCATTTTTTCAGAGTTGTTTAAAACACTGCTTTTATCTAGGTTTTTATTTTAGCTTTCTTATAAGCTCGTCTTTAGCTGGCTTGAATTGTTACTTTTAGTATGGACTAAGAAACCAAACAATTAAGAACTAAGAAACCAAACAACGGTTACTATATAATACAGTGTTCAGATAGTTCTCAACTTAAGACCAAAATTTCTGTTGTTAAGTGAGACATTTGTTAAATGAGTTTTGCCCCATTTTACGACCTTCCTTGCCTCAGTTGTTAAGTATATTACTGCAGTTGATAAATTAATAACCCAGTTGTTAAGCGAATCTGGTTTCCCCCTTGAGTTTGCTTGTCAGAAGATCACAAAAGGGGATCGCGTGACCTTGGGACGCAGCAACGGCCATAAATAGGAATCACTTGCCAAGCATCTGAATTTTGATCACATGACCATGGTGATGCTAACAAAGGTTATAACTGAAAAGCGGTCATTCTCAGCACCATTACAACTTTGAACGGTCACTAAACGAACTATTGTAAGTTGAGGACTACCTATTCTCCTTTCCTCGTTACCTGAAGTAATCCTTGAATTGAGCAGAATAGAAATAAAACCCTAATACAAAAAAAATGCTGTTGGTATTATTTCTTCTTCTTCTTCTTCTTCTTCTTCTTCTTCTTCTTCTTCTTCTTCTTCTTCTTCTTCTTCTTCTTCTTCTTCTTCTTCTTCTTCTTCTTCTTCTTCTCCTTCTCCTCCTCCTCCTCCTCCTTCTCCTCTCCCTTTCTTCTTCTCCCTTCTTCTTTCTTCTTCTTTTCAATTGACTCAAATCAGAGTTGACAAACATGGCGGGCCTGCTGCCCCTGCATTCCAATGAATTGGTGTAGTGTTGGAGATAGAAAGAGGGTGAGATTAAGGAAAGGAAGGGGAATGGTGATTACTCTGAGGATTAGTTACATTTTTCTTTTAAAAATGGGAAAGCAGATCTGAGTTGGTGTGTGGAACACAGGGGTGAAAGAGGTTAGTGCAAATAGCCATAAATCTGAAGAGTCGATGATTTTTTTTTATCTTTTGTGAACCTCAGGTTCAAAGCTTATATTTCAGAGTGGCCAAAGCAAGAAATGGGTAAAGAGATCAAAGGGTGAGCAGGAGACAGCAGTGAGTCTCTGTGGCCCCCTCCCACCACGTTCCTCCCCCATCTCAGCATCTTTCTTAGTCTTTATTTATAGCATTTTTTTTTCTGAGAAGAGGGTAGAGGAGGATCTTCATTTCTGCATCCTCAAGTTGGTTTCTTTTAAGAAGTTCTTGCAAGCAGAGGGGGGAACTGAATTCGCATACTTGATCACAATCCTTCCTTTTTGATTGCATGTTTAAACTGTAACCTTTTTCCCCTGTTTTTTTAGCCCTGTAAAAATGGAAACCAGCAAAGGATACCAGCAACTGGGAGAGGCAAATCTGTGGTTTTTTTTAAAAAAAAAACTATGGTAACCATTAGCCTAATGCAGGGATAGGAATATATCGCCTTGGGATACTTCCTTTGGCACATTCAAGCTCTGCCTAACTTGAATTTCCTTTCCTTTTAAAGGAAACAGCATAGCAGTAGAACCAATGTCCTGTTTTTAATATCAGCTTTCTTAATGAGATGACCTTGGGCCTCAAATATCTCTGCAGAGAATAAAACGTTGTAACCTCTGTTGGTTATTTAGAAATGCCCCGCCTGCTCAAAGAAGAAGAGAGAAAAACTGAAGGAGAATAGAACATCTTGGAAGAGTTAGTGAGGAAAAGAATTAAAACTATTTCTCTTTGGGGGGAAATGTCAGGATTGCTCATGCCTAGGATTTGATTTTGATTAATACCCTCCTTTATTATTTTTACAAATAACTCAAAGGTGATGAACAAATCCAGTACACTTTTTTCTGCCTATTTTCCCCACAACAACAACCATGTGAGGGGAGATGAAGCTAAGGTAAGACTTGAACTCATGGTCTCATATTTTCTAACCTAGTGCCTTAATCACTAGATCAGAGATGGACAATTTTTGTGCCTTCCTAGCCTGTGGATTACAACTCCCAAGATTCCTGAGCCAGCATAGAATTCTGGGAGTTGAAGTCCACAGGTCCTAAAATTGCCACAGTTGTCCACCCCTACATTAGACCAAACTGGTTGTCAGTTAGCATAATGCCTATTTAATCAGCAAGAAAACCCCATTTTTGTGAGAGCACCTTGTCACATAATCTCAACAGGCTTTTTAAAAAGCCATCAAGAAAGCATACATAGATTGGCAAAACACCAGTTCAAATCCAAGTGAGCAACACTGTGCAGCAAGGGACGCTGGGTTCAGACACTCCTAACTACGTTTCAGGTTGCCCTACACACCTCAAGTACGGGCTCATTACAACCGAATAGTGACGGTCCTTAACTCAGCCTCCTGGAAGCAATTTTGGGCTCAAGAAACAGAATGGAAAATTCAGGTTAAATCCACCAGCTATTTTCTTTGAGTCCAGTATTGTTCCGATTAGACTAAAGAAAGAATAAGGAGTTGTCTCATCCAAGCATGATGATAGCAGCATATCATATTAAAAATGTGAAATGCTTCTCAAGTCAAGAGCAAAAATAGCTATCATGGAATAAATGTGAACATATTCAAAAATAAGCAAAATGCGGGGCCTTTGGAAGAGGGTGAGAAAAGTATTGATTTATCATCTATAGGGGGAAATCAACCATATGATTAATGGGCTTTTTTTAATTGGAAAGCTGTTTCTGCCTTATTATGTCTTCAGGCACTGGCAAATTTGTGTCCTTGAGATGTTCTGTTCCGATGGAGTTTTAGATGTACCAGCCTTATCCAGCCAACAGCCAGATATTGAGAAAGTACAAGCCGAAACAACCAGACATCTCCAGGTTGTCTATATGAATTAAAAATAGCTCATCCACCCCAAAAGAAATCCCTGCTCAATAGTAGGCTAAAAATCCCGTGTTTTTTTTTTGTTTTGTTTTTCCATAAAACCAGTGGGGTTTGTTCCACTTCATACTGCTATTTAACAGCATCTGAGTTTTGATTTTGCTGTTGTGTGAAAGGTTTACCTACACAGAGCTGTGTGTAGAGACTTTTAACATAGGGGTGTCCAGCCTTGGCAACTTTAAGACCTGTGGACTTCAGCTCCAAAATTCCCCAGCTAACCAGGCCTTAAAAAGTTGCTAAAGTTGGGTACCCCTGCTTTAATTAGAGTAAAGTTGGATAGGCTTCCCCAGTCTGAAGCATTCCAGACTGCAGAACTGAAAATCTCTTGTAGAAAGCCTGGGTGATAGATGTTAGATTTAGAATAACTTCATTGTCACTTTGAATGTACACTAATCGGCATACATTAAAATGAAATTTTGTTGCATACAGCTCTCAAAGGGCCTCCTTTGTGGTTTAGAGCAGTGGTCCCCAACCAGGGACTGGTTCCCTGGAGGAAGGTTTTCCCCACAGGCCAGAGGGGAAATGGATTCACGTTGCCTGCATCTTGCAGATGGGACTTTGCTTGTTTGCATGGCCTAGTTTCTCGCATGCTGTGACCCGATGCCAGTCTACAGACTGGGGGTTGGCGACCCCAGGTTTAGGGAGTGCCAAATTGGACAAGGCTGAAATAATGAATTCTCAGGCATAGGCCAGTAAGACAAAGTTTTAAAGTTCTATCCATAAATAGTGGTATCAAATTTGATCTCCTGATGGTTGAACAAGGAGCCCTACATTCTTTGGAAAAGGAACCAAATATGATTGGTGGAAACTCACTTCACTGACGTCTGACAAAGACTTTTGAGCAAGAAAGCATACAAACCTTGTGATTATAACGTCTTTGCAGATGCAGAAGCTGAAACAGTCCTCGACTTATTCCACCATTGGGACCAGAACTTCTGTGGCTAAGCAAAGTGCTTATTAAGTGAGATGTGCCTAATTTTCCATTTTTTTTTTTTTACCCATGGTTGTTAAGCTTGCCACTGCAGTTGTTAAGTAAATCACATGGTCATTAAGCAAACCTGGCTTCCTTATTGACTTTGCTTGTTGGTAGCCTGCTTGGAAGGTCCGGGGATGCCGTAATGTCATAAATACTTGCCTATTGCCAAGTGCCCCAATTTTGATCATGGGACCATGGGACTGCCTTAACAGGTGTAGGTGCAATGATTGGTTGTGAAGCACTTTTTTCAGTACTATTGTAACCTTGGATAGTCACTAAACTAATGGCTATAAGTCAAGGACTAGGTGTAGTTTTGATTTATTAGGCAAAACAGCCTATCCTATTCACTAAATCTACAATACAGAATCATCCACGTCTCATTTTGGGGTGGATGGCCTTTATGAGGTTATCAGATGTGGTTGCAAATATGGGATAATAAGAATTTGAAATCTATAGAAGCTCTACAGGTAACCCTTGACCTACCCCCACAATTGAGCCCAAACTTTATGTTGCTAAGTAACGTATTTGTTAAGTGAGTTTTGCCCTATTTTTACAACCTTTCTTGCCGCAGTTGTTAAGTGAATCACTTCAATTGTTAAGTTAGTAACATGGTTGCTAAGTGAATTTGGCTTCCTCCCTTGATTTCCCTTGTCAGAAATCGAAAAAGGAGATCACATGACCCTGTAATGGTCATAAATATGTGTCAGTTGTCAAGCATCTGGATTCTGATTAAATGACCACGGGGATGTTGCAGTGGTCATAAAGTGTGAAATATGGTCATTAAGTCACTTTTTCCAGTGCCTTTGTAACTTTGAACGGTCACTAAAAGAACTGCTATAAGTCAAGGACTACCTATACTTACCCTTGTAGATATGCAGGAAAATTATGGGCCATCTAATTTCCATCTACATACATAGAGGAGATCAGAAGTATTGTTTTGGATGGTCAAATACCAAACTGATTGTGTAAAAAACAACAATGATATTACCGTACAAGATCAAATGCAGATTTCATCCAATAGTTCTTGGGATTGGATCATTTTGGACTGAACTGAGAATAGAGAACCCAGCAGTGTTTTCTTCTAGGCAATCACCATATCCCAGCCAGCATTATTTTCAGATGTTATCCATCCTACACTACAGAAACCTTTTGCTGCGGCAAGTAAAGTGACGAACAGGTTTTCAAATTTTATTGCCCTTGGTTTGTGTCTAAGTTTAATAATGTCTTGTTTCTTTTTCCCTGCTGGGATACTAAACAGCAACACTTTCCTGAAAGTGGTTTGGAATCTCTAATTAAAAGCTAAACGCTGAATTTGGGTGAGCTGAAGATTTTATCCTAATATTGGTCGTAAGCCAGAATGTGAATCTGGTTGAGCAGTCAAAACATTGAAATTCAGGTCCACACTCCGTTCAGTTTACAAAACATGCCCTGGGATGGCCTTTTATGAGCAGCAAACACCATGCCCTGTTTAACCATGTTACTCTTGAAAACTCAGTTTCACTTAGACCCAATTACTCAATCCAAAAACAATGAGAAGACTATGCTGGAGTTATAGCAAAGATGACAGCATATGAGAGGTGCTATCCCTTTCTATATGCAGGTTGTCCTTGACTTATAATCGCAATTGGCACCAGATGGTTGTTAAAATGAGTCATGCCCAATTTTTACAACCTTTTTTCCATGGTTGCTAAGTGAATCACTTCAGTTGTTAAATGAACCCGGTGCTTAAGCAAATCCAGCTTGCCCCGTTGACTTGTCACAAAGCTGAAAAAGTTGTGAATGGCGATCATGGGACATGGGACACTGCAACCATCATAAATACATGCCAGTTTAGTGCTCAAATTTCGATCCCGTGACTGCACTGCAATTGTCATAACTGCGAGGACAGGTCATAAATCACTTTTTTCAGTGCTGTTGTAACTTCAAATGATTGCACAACAAATGGTTGTAAGTTGAAGTCTACCTGTAAACCATTGGTTATTAGAATACAGGTTGTTCTCAACTTACCTACATTTGTTTAGTGACCGACTGAAGCTACAACAGCACTAAGTGATTTATGACCATTTTTCACACTTATGACCATTGCAGCATTTCCATGGTTACATGATCAAAATTCGGATGCTTGGGAACTGGCATGTATTTATGATTTTTGCAGTGCCATGAACCACCTTTTGCAAACTTATGGCAAGCAAAGTCAAAGGGGAAGCCAGATTCATTTAACGACAATGTTACTAACTTAAATGATTCACTTAACAACTGTGACAAGAAAGGTCATAAAATGGGGCAAAAATTGTGCTCAATTGTGGTCATAAGTCAAGGACTTTCTATATTAAATAGAACCTCTCCATACAGGAGAAGTAGCTCTTCAAATACAGATTCTACCAAGAAATTGCTACTGTGACCAGCTCTATCTATAGACTTTCTTGAACCTCTGACAGTTCTGGCTGCTGAAAGCAGTTGGCCTAGCCGTAACAATCCAGCAATAGTTCATTTATTGTGTATCAAAGTTATATTCCAGCTTCCCTTCAGCAGCTCAAGATGAGTTATTCAGTGAACTCGGTGCTTTCTTCCATTTTTTTCCTACAACAACCCTGTGAAGTAGGTCAGGCTAGAGCAAAAATAGAAACTATAAAGCAAGACGGACAGTTTTACCAAGTACAAGACTAGTGTGCCTAACGTAGCTAATCCAATTTTCATGTTAAAGTGACCTAATAGGCAGCAGCAACACTAAAACAGAGAGGGGGGAAAAATCAATCCCTTATGCAAGAAGAGGAAAAAATGAATCACATGGTCCCGTTCAATAAAAGAACCCAATTTATATAACAAGCAGGAGATCCGTGGTGCCCTGCCCCCTCCCACTGCCCCAAAGAACATGCTTCAAACATGCCTCCTACTCATGTGATCTTCAAAGGTGCGGCTGGGAATATAGACTTCAGCCCAAATAGGGCAGGTTTTGCCTGGGGACACAGGCTAGCCTTGCTTCATGCAGCTCAGGGATACCATATTGTTACTACAGTTCACTGGAGAATCCACAGTTCTGCACCCCAATAATTCTGTAAACCCAGCGGCTGAGCTGCCCTGAGTTTCCAGTCTCCAGGGCAGCCTCAAATACCAAATAAATGCAGCCCCAAACACCAAATAAATCCCCACCTTCTACCTAAAATAACCACTGGTTCCCAAATGCTCTGAGCCCTGAATTCAATTTTCCTCAGCTTATTTTTCCAGCGCTTCCTCCCAGTCCTGCCCCCAACCCAACGACGCTAGAAAAAGGCCACAATGTGGTACAATGTTCAAGTTCTTGGGGGGGGGGGGACAGAGCCTTTGCACAAGGAGCAAAATCCTCCCAGATACACCTTCACCCACGTTTCTTAACCTCGAGCCCGGGTGGACTACAGCTCCCATCATCCTTACCCAGCAGGGCCAAGATCATGCAGAAGAAAGGCGATTCGAGCTATCGCACCTTTAGAAGGCGCAAAGAAAGGGAGGACTGGTAGGGAACATGCCCAGGAAAAGAGGGGGTGGGGGCAGGCTCCGGCGTCCCTGCAGTTTTACGCCCTCCACCCTTTGTTTCGCCTTCATTGTACGCCTTCTGTCATTTCTTTTGGATTGATTCGATTTATCGCCTGGCATTTGCATTGCTCACTCCGGTGGCTCACAGTTCATCATCCCACGTATTGAGATGCCACATTTCTCCTCCTCTAGCCCACCCCACCTCACCCTACCTGGACCTAACCTCTCTCTGAGGTGGACGCCGGCAAAGCGGCAAACCCCGGGGATTCCTGCAGAGCAACGCCTTTTCTCATGAAAAAACACGATTTCAGTTCCCGCTGGAACTCTTCCGTTAAGCTTCGCTCCCTTCTGCCCCGAATCGCAGACACAGGCTGCCCTTTGTTCGGCTGCGATCCGCTAGTCCGCGCTGCCCCACGCGAAGGGATCCTTCGGGCTGCGCCGCTCCCCTCTCCGCAATCACCTTGAAGCGATCCCAACACCGTTTTAATCCACTAAATCGCCCTCCCAGTGAACCCAAGAATCTCAGATCTTTGGAAGAGATCTCAGGAAGGTTGCTTTCTTTCAAAGCCCAGGACTTCCTGATCTCTTGCCCTGCTTCTTCTTCTTCTTCTTCTTATTATTATTATTCCCTTTTCCTCCCCACCGCCCCAAACCTGAGCAATAATCCCAGTCTTTTATACCGGCGACGCGCTTTTACCTTACCTCTTCACTCTCAGCCTCTGATCCGGCTTACCGCCTTCCAGCAGGCAGCTCCGGCAAGCTAGCAGTTAAAAGAGAGGTGGGTGTGTCTCGCAAGCCACGCCCACTTTCCCGGGGTTTTGCCCCAGCTGTCTTTTTTCTTAAAGGAGCACCTCCCCCCTCCCCATCCCAGGCCGAGGTTTGGGCGAGTAATTGCAAGCGCTCGGCGCGATCAACAAACAAACAAACGACTGGAAAATGGAAAGGGGGCTGCGGGAAGTGAAACGCTTTCCAGGAGACCCAGAGGAAGAATGTAGACCGTGGAAAGGAGGAGGAGGAGGAGGAGGAAGAAGAAGAGGCGGCAGAAGAGAAAGCGCATTGCTGAGAAAGGGACACTCGCTTCGCTCTATCCCCGCCTCCTTCCCACCCATCCTAAGGTTTACCCAGCCCGAGGATGGAATTTCCTGAAAGTTTCTTTCCCAGGGAGAATAATTAGTTCCAGATGGAAGGGGGTAAAGGGGGAGGAAAAGTAGGAGGATTGTTGGAATAATGTAAAGCGGAGGAGAGGGGGGCTGGAAGGTATAGGGGGACCGCCTTTCCCAACCTGGCGCCCTCCAGATGGGTGGGTTGCAGTTTGTCTGACCACTTCCCCGGGCGACACGCTTTCTGCTTTGGGAAACCAGGGAAGGGCGGGCAAGAGAGCGCAGGACATACAAGCGGGCGAGTGCCGGGTGGCTAGGCACCGGGCGACTGAATGACTGAGCGGGCGAAGGAGAAGGGGGCACCTTCGCATGTACAGAGTGCACGCAATAAAGCACGCTCGCATCTGCTTCTTTCCAGCGTGTGTGAAATGCAGAAGCAGGCAGGCGGGAGAGCAGGATCCTGCGTTCAGGTGACGCGAGGCTCCAAGGCATTCCCCGCCAGCTGCATCTGAGACTTAGAAACAGCCAAAACGCAGCCTCACACACCGCTCACTTCCCAGGTCTAGGAGTTTTGGGGAGGGGCTGACTCGGGAACAGCCAGATGCTCTAGCCTCCTGCTCCGACCCCTCCACTGCTGTCTTCTCTCAGGCGATCTCCGCGGCCGGGGCGTGGGTGGAAACGGCGAAGGGGTATTTGTAACTGGGGGGCTCCGCAGCTTGACAAAGCCTTTTGGGGGAGGTCGCATTTTCCGGGGGAAATCTCTTAGGAATTCCCCGGAAAGATCGAAGCTATGGTTGGGTGGGGGCGATCAGGATTATATTTTCTTTCTTTCCGTGTTCCCATGCTTTATCCCCCTCTTTTTCTCCCATTGTTTAAAATTTTTATTTTTTTCTCTTTCTCATTTTTTTTCTTTTCCAGTTTTTTCTCCTATTCTTCTTTCTTCTCTTTCTTTTCTCGGTGTTCCCATTCTTTTCTCTTTTCCCCATTCTTTTCAAGGAAAAATAAAAATCACAGTCCAGAAAGAGCTGAAAAAATAAAAAAAAAAGCATGCCATAATAACGTATGTAATCAGAAAAAAAATACAAATACAATATTAAGCCTAAATGGGTCAATGTATAAAGTCCACCATGTCAGCCACGGGCGCCAAACTTCCGTTGTCCTATTGCCATCAGGTATCATGGCACTTTTCTCCTTCCCGGAGCTGAGGTGGGCATGGCCTGTGCGTGAGGCATCTGGCTTGTGGGCCACCAATTTGACACCCCTGATGTAAGCAATATGACATCTTACACAACATTGCAACATCCTTGATTTACGACTGTTTGATTTGCGACCCTTCACAGTTACCATTCAAAGCACTGAAAAAGTGACTTGCAACCACTCCTTGCACTTACAACTGTCACAACCCCATGGTCACATGATAAAAATCTGGTCCTTTGGCAACTGGCATGTGTATAGGACATTTGCCATGTCCAGGGATCATGTGGCCACTATTTGCTACCTTCTCAATAGGTTCTGACAAGTGGAGTCACGTGAAATTAAACTACTGCATGATTCACTTTATATCCATGGCAAAAATTGTAAAATTGGCTGTGACTCAAAGAGCATCTTGCTTTCCAACAGAAATTATGGTTCCAATTGTGGTCGAAAGTTGAGAACCACCTGAATAATAACAAAAAGTGTATAATAACTAATATATTTGTAAAACAGACCTGTACATTTTAACATCAGCCAAACTTGCCTTAATGAGCTACATCTTCATTATTATGAGGTTATGTACTAATGCTGCACTATGCCTTCTAGTAAAGTTATCAAGAATTTTAATGTGAACTTTTCGAAGAAAACACCAACAGATCCGAATGACTTTTCCCAGCAATTATGAATACAGTGAAAACACAGCAGTGAGTTGGGGCATGTCATGTATATTAACGCCACCAAGAGGTTCCAGTAGGACAATTTCAGTCTTCTCTGCTTCTCACTCCCAAGACACCTGGGAGAAACCCAGTCAGGAAAACTTTTAAGAAATGTTTAATGGGCATGGAGGCAATAATGGTCTCTCTCTCTCTCTCTCTATCTCTACTACAGTAGAACTAATTGTCCAGATCTGTGTTTCTCAAACTTAGCAACTTCAAGGTATATGAACTTCAGATGTCCCCAGTCAGCATGCAAAATATTGACAGTTGAAGCCTACATACCTTAAAGTTGCCACGGTTGAAAAATCTTGCTTTTTCATAATTTAGTTTGCTACCCTGTATTCTATTAAAACTCTCATATAAGTTTGTTTGCAATCTTCAACTGGGTTAAACAGTGCAGCCAGAGGCAACAGTGTTTGAATCAGCATACTCAAATGGGCTAATTTAAAGAATGTGCCCAAAACCTGGGACCCCTGACTCTGGGGAATTAAAATTTGACAAGCCTTGTACCTTATGATTCTTGACTCTTGATGATTGTATCTTTTCTTTTATGTACACTGATAATTTGTCCAAGCAAAGTCCCTGTGTGTCCAATCACACTTGGCCAATAAAGAATTCTATTCTACTCTTCAATATGGCTGCCTTGTTTCAGTCATTTGATCATCATTTCCAATATGGCCTCTTAGTTTTCTACAGGAAAGTCACTGGGGAAGCTGAAAGGAAATCAGAAGTCGCTCCCACTACCAGTGTCCCACGGTCATGTCTTTCTTCCTTTGGTAAGGAAATAACTTTGAAACAATGACCCAACCTATCACAGGTTGTCTAGTCCTTTTTATAACAAGAAATAAACCGCATTCTTGTTGCAAACTGCTACAAAGCAAGGAAATAATTCTTCCCCTCCGCCAACATTGCTGTTTATTCAGGGATGAATGCAAATCAGGGTCCCTCCTTTGGCAAACAGAAACTTAAGTCATCTCTCCTTATCAGAGGTCATCACAGAATACTGTAGAAACAACATCCATAGATTAATTTCTGTTTGTCTGCCTGAGTATGCGCTACCCAATCAATTTCCATAAGAGCCCTCCTGGAGCCAGTAAGAATAGGAAAATTCCTGTCTCCTCGCGGAATGTTACTCATAATTTTATAGACCTCTGAGGCATAGTCTCTTGGCTAATTGTTGGAATTTCAAGTTCTGTTGTCCTCTCCTGATTATGGTTGTCTTTTTTTTTAATCTTTGAACCTTTCCAACTCTGTATCAGAATCTACAAATGAAACTTGTAGATTCTGTGAAAGGACTATTTTACTAAAGGCTTGAAATCAGTTCTATACAACTTGTTCGCTTATGGTCAAATCCTTCTGCATTCAGTGGGTTCCCTCCCCTACAACTCAAGACATAAAAATGCAACCTCACTGTTTAATTGAGATGCAACCTTTTCTGTATGTATTCGATGAAACCCTAAATCTTTATGGGCTTGCCAGACACTTAGGTGCCAGGAGATGCTCTGTGACTGTGCTGTAGCAGCCATAAATTCAATCAAAAATTTATTAGTCTAGAAATTCTTAGTTGCCTCTCTTAACTCAACATTATTTTTGAACTCATTAATCTGAATGAGCATGGTGATGTTGATTTATTGGACTGCTATAGCAGACTGTCATTCATTTATTAATTAAATTTACATAGCTTTATATATCTGCCCATCTCATGCATATGATTTTGGATGGCATACACATTTAAAAGACCAAACTGAACGATCAACATAATTGAAACACAACTATTAAAAACAGGGTTTTTTTAAAAAAAAACTTTATAACAAAAAGAAATGCATTCTAAACTTGTACTGTATATGTTAGTATAACATATACAGTACAAGTTTAGAATGCATTTCTATGCATTGGAAGCTATTGTCTTCCAACAGCTGAGAATTGTTAATTATTTAGTTCTTTTACCAGTTTCCTTTCTTAACCATATCATGTCTGTCCATCCATCCATCCATCCATCCATCCATCCATCCATCCATCCATCCATCCATATCTATCATCCATCTAGAATAGAATAGAATAGAATAGAACAGAACACTTTATTGGCCAAGTGTGATTGGACACACAAGGAATTTGTCTTGGTGTAAATATTCTCAGTATACATAAAGAAAAGATACATTCGTTAAGTACCAAGAATCATAACATACAACACTTAATGATAGTCATAGGGTACAATCAACAATCAAATCATACTAGGAAACAGTCAATATAAATCGTAAGGATACAAGCGACAAAGTTACAGTCCTACATTCACAAGTGGGAGGGGATGGGTAATAAGGAGTGATGAGAAGATTAACAGTAATAGTAGTGCACACTTTGTAAATAGTTGAACAGTGTTGAGGGAATTATTTGTTTAGCAGAGTGATGGCTTTCAGGAAAAAACTGTTCTTGTGTCTAGTTGTTCTGATGTGCAGTACTCTATAGCGTCGTTTTGAGGGAAGGAGTTGAATCTATCTATCTATCTATCTATCTATCTATCTATCTATCTATCTATCTATCTATCTATCTATGTCTATCTTATCAATCTATCTATCTATGTCTATCTTATCAATCTATCTATCTATCTATCTATCTACATATCTACCTAATCTAACATCTAACATGTATCTATATACCACTAAAGACATTAGCTAACTATTTCAGATTCCAGGAACCCTAACCCTAAGCCTAACATTAAAGAAATGAAAATCAATTAAGAATAGTAATGGTTAAGTAATTAAAAAGGTATGGATATGCACTGAAATGGACAAATTAACTTTGGAAATAAAAAATAAGGATGAAACTGAATATTTCAAAATATGGGATAAATTCTACCAATGAATATTTCAAAATATGGGATAAATTCTACCAATGGTGGGGGGAAAGGAAGGACTCAGAATTAAAATAAGACAAAGTTATTAGAATAGAAGACTAGAAATATGGAAATTTGTTGAAATGTACAAAGGTATATGTTATGTAAATATGTATTATATGTTATATACAATAGATATGTATGA